AATAGTGTTGAATGTATATATAATGTATATTATAATAATTGAAATAATTATAGTATTATAGATATGTGTAATAGATATATTAATATTAATTTTTGTAGTGTCTTTAATTAGTTGTAAGTTATATATTAGAAATCATCTTTAATCTTACTAACTAATATTCATTTTCATATATATATATATATCAAATATTTGAAAGATTGTATTTTAATTTGACAATTAGAAATTAAACACATAAAACACACTTAACATTATTAAAATATATTGAATTATATTATTTTTCATACTATAACATATCAATATTATTTCGTAGAATTAATACGTTAGTATGAACTTATTATCAACAACACGTATACATAATTTTCATATTAAACAAGTTAAACTGATCAATTAAGAAACCTTAACCGTTGTACACACCACGTCCACACCATATCAAAAAACAAATAATAATAAAGATTATTAATTAACATTAATTACTCGGAATGTCATGAAAATTCAACGACACGCGTTTCCGCGTGTATTCGCAAGGCCACGAACACGCGTTTAAAAGAGCATGATCTTCCACGAAGTAGGAGAATCCTGTGGATAGTAAGACGCGTGCCTAACCGTGTAAAAGTAAGTACATATGTACAGTTAGAAAAAGGAACATGGAAGTTAAACGAACTGTGAGTATTACAACGAATGAGAAAATAAGAAATTGAACAACATTCGAGAATGGTTGGTGAATTATTTTGATAGTGTGTGTAATAATAGATTCCATTGTTGAATATGTGTGTGTATATGTATATATAAAATCATTTCATAGCGGTCTTTCATATCGAAAGATTCATTGAAAAGTAGCACACCATATGTGCGAAGAACATATGGAGAATTAGCTATGAACAAACCCTATAACTAATCGTTTGTCATCATTGATACATTGATTTACCATAGTCATCGATATTTTTTTGTTATTATTAAATATGTAGATACGTGCGATAAAAAATTATTATATATTATATAATATATATATTCAAAGAGTTATATTTTTGCATAGTTTATCATTAGAGTTTGTATATTATTTTCGTAATTTTTTTAATCTTATTTATTATATATTACAATTATATTTTGTTATAATAAAAAATATTCATTTGTTTTTATAAAGTACAAAATCTAACACTTTGTAGAATAATGAGATGAATATTTAATTAAATCAATATTATATTTATTGGACAATTTTGAAAGAAAAATTTTTCGATTGGATGACATTTTATTAATCAATAGACACAGAATGATAGATTAATTAATCGTCGTAGTTGTCATTCATACAATCGATCGTGTAAAAAAAAAATTTGAAAAGACATTTTTCATATATACTTTTATATCTGATTAAAAAAAAAAAAACATAATTGTCATTCGTCTTATTTGTGATTGAAAAGATAATATTTCTATAGAATATTATAAATTAAAACTTTAACAATATTCTTAATCAACATTTTTATTCGATAATTTACACAAGTATATATATTCTACAATAGAAATAAAATAATTGTCACCTTCTTGTGTCATAGTTGAAATCATAATAGATGAAAGAAAAATGCAATAACCCGTTGATGGTTAATCATCAAAGACGCACTTTCACATTTTTAACATTCCCTACCATAACATATATATATATATATATATACATCCTGATAATTACCTATCCCGGAACGCAAGAATATTAATGTTAGTGTTTAGTGTTGAGACGTCTGTTGGTAGTGTCATTGTCTCCTTCATAATTGCTAACTCGAAGAAGGATCATTGACTCATAGAAAACGTTGATTGTACCGAGAAGAAACAACGTAATCATCGTGCTTTCTTTCTTTATCGTTAAAAACCCCCCCATCCCTTATTTTCAGTTAATCATCCTTATTCTTCTTATATATATAATTAAAAAAGTATTTTGTTTTATTAGGTATTGAGAAATATTATGTATTATTTTGTTATTTATAATTAATTTATTTATTTATCGTTTGTATATTATATTAAATGATATCACATAAATGAAACCTGACTTTAAAAAATGAATATTATTTAATTTAAATCTAATTATAATACATTTATATATATAATAAAAAAAAAGTATTTACACAGGATAAATCAAAAAGGACTCGAGTATATAACAGTTTATAATAGGTATACTCGTGAAAAATATTTCACAGGAAAAGCAAGCAAGCACCGTTTACCATATACCACTACTTGTATTCGTGGTAAGAAGAAATAAACATCGACGATTTAATTTCAAAAGGTCAAGCTCTTCGTACCGTGTCCAGTACACGGAAGCATATCGCGTATCTTTGGAAGACGGATGACCTTAGGAAGGTTCAGACCTTTGCTCTTAAACACCGTCCAAACGTTACCTGTATCCAACCAACCAATCTTATCCTCTTTAAAGTTGCTGCTTCTCTTAGTAAGCTGTCCATTTTACGAGGATTGATGGAAGAAATTTTATACCTTTTTTTTATTTTTTTATTATTATTATTATTAATCTTATTCTATTTCTCTTATATATTATTAAACAATAATTTGGATGGTTTATTTTGAAATTGGTGCAATTCGTTGGTGGTGTTGTTTGTTTAGAAAAAAATTTAATGGTTTATTATATATATTTAATCTATTTAAAAAATATAAATTATATTTATGTGTCAAATTTGATTATATTCATATTGCTGTTCATATATATATATATATTCTTTTAGTTAAATTATATTATATATACAGGTTGTGTGTTTAAATGAACTCACACTATTTTCATAATTATTAATCGTATTGAAATTATTTTCCTGAAATAATTGTGTTTAAATATAAAACATAAAGCCTGTGCACCTAAGCTTATGGGAAAAATTGGACTCGTACAATTTTCAAAATAAAAAATATTTAATATTCTTATGAGTAATTTGATATAATAATTGAAATATTGGGATGTATTTGTAATTAGTTACATAATAGGAAACTATATTATTTTTTTTCCTTCCTTTTCGTTTCATATATAATATGATAGATAAAAAAAAAGAAGAATAAGAATAAGAATAAGAAGAAATAAAATTTAATTTCCAATCCATTCGA